GCCTCAGCCTCAGCCTCAGCCTGCTTTCAGCCTCAGCCTCAGTCTGCCTTCAGCCTCGGCCTCAGCCTGCCTCAGCCTCAGCCTCAGCCTCAGCCTCAGCCTCAGCCTCAGCCTCAGCCTCAGCCTCAGCCTCAGCCTGCCTCAGCATGAGCCTGCCTCAGCGTCTGCCTCAGCCTGCCTCAGCCTCAGCCTCAGCCTCAGCCTCATCCTCAGCCTCAGCCTCAGCCTCAGCCTGCCTCAGCCTCAGCCTGCCTCAGCGTCTGCCTCAGCATCAGCCTGCCTCAGCCTCAGCCTGCCTCAGCGTCTGCCTCAGCCTGCCTCAGCCTCAGCCTTTGCTTGCCTCAGCCTCAGCCTGCCTCAGCCTCAGCCTCAGCCTCAGCCTGCCTCAGCCTCAGCCTCAGCCTGCTTCAGCCTCGGCCTCAGTCTGCCTTCAGCCTCGGCCTAGCCTCAGCCTGCCTAGACTCAGCTGCATCAAGCCTCAGCCTCAGAATCAGCCTGCATCAGCCCCGCATCAGCCTTGCTTTCAGCCTCAGCCTCAATCTGCCTTTCAGCCCAGCCTCAGCCTCAGCCTGCATCAGCCTCAGCTCTCAGCCTGCCTCAGGCATCAGCCATGCCTCAGCGTCTGCCTCCAGTGCGGATCAGCCTCAGCCTCAGCCTCAGCCTCAAGGCCTCAGCCAGCCTCAGCTGCATCAGCCTCGGCCTCAGCCTCAGCCTGCCTCAGCCTGAGCCTGACTCAGCCTCAGCCTCAGCCTCGGCCTGCCTTAGCATCAGCCAGCCTCAGCCTCAGCCTCAGCCTCAGCCTCAGCCTTAGCCTCAGCCTCAGCCCGCTTCAGCCTCAGCCTCAGTCTGCCTTCAGCCTCGGCCTCAGCCTCGGCCTGCCTCAGCCTCAGCCTGCATCAGCCTCAGCCTCAGCCTCAGCCTGCCTCAGCCTCAGCCTCAGCCTGCTTCAGCCTCAGCCTCAGTCTGCCTTCAGCCTCGGCCTCAGCCTTAGGCTGCCTCAGCCTCAGCCTGCAATCAGCCTCTAAGCCCAGCCTCAGCCTAGCCTGTCATCGGCCTCAGCCTGCCTCAGCCTCAGCCTCAGCCTGCCTCAGCCTCAGCCTCAGCCTGCTTCAGCCTCAGCCTCAGTCTGCCTTCAGCCTCGGCCTCAGCCCCAGCCTGCCTCAGCCTCAGCCTGCATCAGCCTCAGCCTCAGCCTGCATCAGCATTCAAAATGTGGCCCGGGAGCTGAATTTTGGGAACTCGAAAAACACGAAGTGGTCTACAGTTGGCTCCGGGCATTCAAAATCATGCCCAGGAATGGAGTTCTGGGAACTCGAAGACCACGAAGTGGCCTACAGTTGGCTCCAGGCATTCAAAATCATGCCCAGAAATGGACTTCTGGGGACTCGAAGACCACGAAGTGGCCTACAGTTGGCTCCAGGCATTCAAAATCATGCCCAGGAGTGGAGCTCTGGGAACTCGAAGACCACGAAGTGGCCTACGGTTGGCTCCGGGCATTCAAAATCATCCCCAGGAATGGAGTTCTGGGAACTCGAAAACCACGAAGTGCGTTACTGTTGGCTAAGAAAGGAGTCCCCGGATTCCGTCAGGCATCTGCCCAGACCCCTCTGGGGAGTCATGATGATCTCTTTTGAAACCATTAGAAACCTATTAATCTTCGCTGTTAGGTAATGAAACGGCCAAAAAAATCGCTCCCAGATTCCTCCTGTTGAGGGACACGCCCGACTGAAGCCTATCACGGAATGTTCTTAAATCCAATCACGGAGTGTTCTCAGAGCCAAGAAGTGGGCCCGGCGCGACACCAATTTGGGGAAAGCTGCCTGTTGCATGGGCGCAGTGCTTGGCATTGTATGGCGTTGCTCGGCATGGCTTGGAACGGGCATACAGTTGGGGCCCGACCACAAGAAACCTTCCACTAAGAACCCAACGTTGAGACCCCAGGGCGTCCATTGAATTTTGGTGGGGGCGTCACGCTTTCCATAGATAGCAAAACCATCGAAACCAAAGAAACCCTGGACACCCAGGAGGCGAGCAGGATGTTTCTTGGCATAGGCCCCCACTGTAATAAGAATACGAGGCACCAGGGGCGGGGCACCCGTTGAATCCAGGACTAGACTTGAGGATGTGAGAAGGGAAACGATGCTGTGCGTCAGCGGATGAAGCAGGCGGTATAACGCGGGAACGGGAGCACTGCAGGCTCCCGTGCCCCAGGGCCAACAAAGGGAGCGGACAGGCTGGGTGAGAGATTAGCAAGGCAGCGGGAAGGGGGAGAGACCTACATCTCGAGTCCGGTGCTCAAGCGAGTCCGTCGTGCCTTCAAAGGACAGCGCAACGCAGGGGGCTCGGCGTGGCCGGCCGACCCCGCGAGTCGGTCGGAGCGCTGCAGCCCGTCGGAGCGGGCCCCAGCATGGGGCGCGGGCCCGGCGGGCGCGGCGCGCCCCGCCGCGGAGGCGCGGGGCCGCGGGCCCCGCCGACTCGGCCCGCCCAGCAGCGCCGAGCCTGTAAGACACCTCGGCGTTGCGGGGCACGGCCCGGGCCAGCTGCTCGCGGCGGCCCCGCCGCCCCGCGGCCTCGGCCAGGCGCCGCGCGAACTCCCGACCGGCCGCGCCGCGGGCCAAGCCGCCGCGAGCGGCAGCTCGGTCGCCTCCCCCGCGCAGGGGGGCCTGCGCTGAGCTGCTAGCCGCCGCGTCGGCGCGGAGCTGGCTGGGCTCGGAGAACTCGACGCGCCCGCGCGCCTGCGCCCTCGCCACCTCAAGCGGGCCCACGGCCAACACGGCCCAGGCGGACCAGAGGCGCCGATGGCGGCGGCGGCATCAGGCAGCGCCTGGCGCTGGCGCATGCGGCCTGGCTCCGGCGGCAGCCACTCGAGAGGCGGCCTCGTCGAGAGCCTGCGTCGCCGACGCGTGGCCAGGGCAGCTCGGTCGACCGCGCAGGCAGCCAGGGGGCGGCTGTCGGGCCTCTGGCCCAGCTGGGCCAGAGCCGCCAGCGGGGGCCGCGGAGGGCCTCAGGGGGGGCCCTGTCTTCCGCGGCGGCGCTGGGGCTGCGGCCCGCGATTGGGCGGCGCGCCCCGGCGCGAGGCGCCCCCCCCCCCGGGCCGCCGACCGAGGGGCCGCGCTGCCCGAACAAAGCGTTGCACGGCCCGCTCGTCGCGCTGGCGGCCAGGGCCGCGCGGGCAGCGGGGCCCGCGCGGCCCGGGCGCCGCGGGCCCGGCGCCGGCGCGGCTGAACTTCGGCGGCGGCCGCTCGGGAGGTGGCTTCGTTGAGAGCATGCAGCGCCGAAGCATGGCCTGCGGGGGCTTTGCCCTGGCGAGTTCCTGTGCCGCGGGCCTCGGCGCGGGTCGGGGCGCGGGCTGCCGGGCTGGGCCCCTGGAGCGTGGTCTCGAGAGGACTGGCGCGCTGAACTGGCTAAACCAACGAGGATTTGGCGTTGCACAAACTGCGCCACCTCTGAGCCCTCGCGGCTGAGGACTCGCCCGACTGGCCCATGATGAGCGCGCTGTCGGGATGACACCCATCGAAGCCCGTCGACGGCGGCCTCGATGGCGGGCGGGGCGGGAGGCGACCGCCGACGCGCCGAAGAGCTTGGAAGCTGCCCTCAGGCGGGCCGCGCGAACAAGCGCACGTGGACCGGCTGCCTCGCGCCCCACTGCTGAGCCAGGGCGGCTCGTCCGACCCCCCATGCGAGGGGGCGGCCGTCGGGCTTCTGGCTCTGCTGGGCCAGGGCCACCAGCGGGAGCCGCGGAAGGGGCCGCAAGGGGGGGGGAGGGGGCCTGGGGCCAGCGACGCCGGGGCGACGCCTGGGGCCAGAGGCATCCGCGGCGACGCTGGGGCTGCGGCCAGCGATGGGGCGTCTCATGACACGAGTCGCCCCTCGCGGGCCGCCGACCGAGGGGCCGCGCTGCCCGAACAACGCGTTGCGCGGCCCGCCCGCCGCGCTGGCGACCAGGGCAGCGGGGCCCCGGCCGGGGCGCAGCGGGCCCGGTGCCGGCGCGGCTCGGTTTCGGGCTCAGCTCGCGGCCCCACCGGCCAGGGCCTCGGCCGCGCCGTCGTCGCCCATCGCCAGAGCCTGCAGCGCCGACGCATGGCCTGCGGGGGCTTTGCCCTCGCGAGCCCCTTTGCCGCTGGCCTCGGCGCGGTCCAAGGCGCGGGGGCTGGTGGGCCGCTCCCCCTGCAGCGACGTCCCCGGGACTGGGCTGGCAGGCGGAACTGGCTTGAGCCAGCAAGAGATTTGGCCTCGCACGCACTGCGCCACCTCTGAGCGGACTCGCCCGACGGGCCCAAGATGGGCCGGCCCCAGAGGGCCCCATGACAGCCCAGGAGGTCTCCAAGACGTGCTGAAAACGGCCTCAAGAGACCCCGAAGAGGGCCCACTCGGGACCCTGTATTAGTACTGCGACGGTCAGTATGTTTGGATATAAGAATATGTAAGTATGTGTACACATGTGTATCTGTACATGTATACATACACACCTGTATATAAATATGTATATGTACATGCGTATGTGTATATACATGTACATATACATATGTATATATATATACATATGATGAGATGTTTTGCTAAGCCATAGCTTGGGCTCACCACTGCATGAGCCACCATGTCTACGTACAGTGCATAGCCGCTATCCCACTTAGTGGGATTGTTGTTCGTGGATGAATCATTGCCCCCAGGAGTCGACTTAACAAAATGGGGTCCCCCTGGCTCCAAGGGACTGCAGATTGACCCAAATTTTATCACTCCTCCTAGGACGCAGGAGGCATCTGAAACCTCCAAGTCCTCAAAAGCTCTAGGTAGCGGAGTGTGGCCTCGGACCTTTGTCTTAAGAAAAAACGATTCTCGTCCGCAGCCCTTGCGCGGAGCTCACCGCAGCAAGGACCGTTGCGCTGGTCGCGCCAGCGCCGCCTGAGCCATAGAAGAGCGGGGCTGGCCGCTGCCTCCTAGCTCGTATCCTCCTCCTCGTTATGCCGGCGCGGGGCTACCCGCTGCCAGCGAGCTCCTCCTCAGAGCCTCTTGTGTTTCTTACCTCTGGTCGTGACGACAAGGTTCATCGCGCCCATGTGCCTGTCCAGCTCAGCCGCCGGAGCGCTCTTGGTGAGAATGTCGGACACGTTATGCTTCCCCGGCACCTTCTGAATCTTCAGGTGGTTATTGCGGACGCGGTCCTGGATCCACAAGTACCGCGTCTGCGCGTGCCGCTGCTTGCCCAAGCCCTTCCGGGACGCGAAGGACTTGGCCGACGTGGAGTCGGACTCCACGACCATGTCCAACTCCACCATGAGGTCACGCATGAAACTCTGCATACCCAGTCCATGGGCTCCTCCATGTACCAATGCATAGAATTCCGCTTCGCCAACATTCAGTCCGAGTGCCAACTGAATGCTGGAGCTGCCCTTGATCACGTGCCTCCCCATCCTGATGACCATGCCGCTGACGCTCTTCCGGGTCAGCCTGTCCGCCGCGTGGTCGCTGTCGACGGACACGAGGATGTGGTCTGGCATGCGCTGCTGGTCGTAGATGAGGCTCACGTACGGCCGATACACCAAGTATCGTCCCAATCGCTTCAACTCCTGCATGGCCTCCTCCGTTGGCTTGGCCATCCTCTGTGCTAACGTCTTCACAGCCTCGCCGATGTCATGCCGGTCCTGCGCGAGAGAACTCGCGCGCATCACAGCCGATCTGAATGTCGAAGCTGCCGTCGAGGAAAGTGGCGGTGACCTCCGATGCCGCTCAATGTCCGCATCGGTCGGCTTGACGCTTGGCGTCTTCACGCCATTGCCCTTGCCGCGTCCCAGCGCCTGCACGATGAGCTCCGAGTGCCTAGCGTCCGGCTCGATCTCAACGTACTTGCGGCCGTCCTGGTTATAGCCGACCCTGATGACTCTGTTCAGCACCGTCGCCTCCTGCACGCAGTGGTCCGCGAAGCCTAGCTTGTGGCTCTCCCGCGCGGAATACTTCGACGCCAAAGTGGCGCCGATCTGATCAAGTCCCAAACGAGGACCCAATACCACGAAATCATCACCATGCACTTCACCACGTAAAACCAAACCTCGATGAAGGAACAACGCCGGGTTCGCCACTCCGATCTCGAACCCGTCCGCCTCCAGCAACTGCTGCCGATCATCCATCCAATTACTAATGGCATCGCGGAACCCATACATGCTGCGATTGAGCCTTCCGACCATGTGCTCGTCACCTGGTTCTCGATCTTCCGCGGGAATGTCGATGTATAGCTCACGCTTCGCCGGCGCCAACCATGTGCTCGTCACCTGGTTCTCGATCTTCCGCGGGAATGTCGATGTATAGCTCACGCTTCGCCGGCGCCATGAAATGCGCGCGGCTGATGTCGAAGATGGCGATCTCTGGGTCCGCGGTGCCATCCACGGAGCCGTCGCTGACCCAGAGAGAGAACAAGGCCTTGATAGCCTCCCACGGTGGCATCGCGCTAAAAAGCTCGTGCGCCAGCAGCTGGTCTTTGGTCTTTGCCTTCAGCTCGCGACCGCAGATCCTCGAGCGCACGTTGTAATTGTCCTTATCGCCCTTGTTCACGTCAACCCACCGTGTACTCACTGTCGACTTGAATCCTCTGGATTCCATCTCGCTCCTCGGTACCTTGTCGTACAACTTGACGTTGCGAACCCAATCGATCTCCTTCTTCCTAGCCTCCTTTACCAACTCCGGGGGAAGTATCTCGCCTGTGATGTTGTCCCGGGTCTCCACGTAAAACTCCACCATCTTCTCGATCTCCTTCGGGCCCAGGTCGTCGACTGGATATTGCGGCTCCGTAGGTGTAGGTCCCGCAGCTGCCAACTCTACAGCGCTAACGTCTCGATCTCGCCGCATCTGCTCCTTCAGGGCCCTCAAGATAGTGCGAACGAGTCGCACGGAATACGCTGCTGTCTGCTTCGCCACGCCGCCAACCACCTGCATGTGGACGTGGCACGGCCCACCAGTCCGGTTGGCGCACCATCGATCCAACGCCTCGGCCAGCTCCTCCGAGTTGGTCATCCACCTGGTCTGCATCAAAACGTGACGCTCGCCGCTGACCTTCTCGAAACTCTCCGGCTTCATGTCGTAGCAGCACATGGGGCCCTCCACCGTGTAGACCCCCGGCTCGCTCCTGAGCCTTACGATGCAATCCTCCTTCCATGAGTCTGCTCCTGCCGGATGTTCGCGTAGGAAATACCTACCGGCGCGAAGCTGCCGCCAGTAGAAGCCCACCGCCGTAGTCAAGTACGGCGGGCTCCCCATTAGTACTTACGGCTCCTCCTGGTCCACTCGGTCCTCCAGCTCCTTCACGTCCTCATCCTTCTCCAAGTCCCAACAATCGTGCGACCCTGGCTTGTTCTCGCTCAGGCCCATGGCGAAACCTGGACGGAGCCCATACTTCTGCGCCATTGCTGCGAAGCGCACAGGGGCGTAGGTCTCGATCATGTCCACTGCGCCCAGCTCCACAGCTACCCTGCAGAAGTCTCTCACATCGCTGGTCCGGTACTCCTCGCCAGCGTCTCGCAGCCAGGTCTCCAACCCAACTGCCATCTCCTCGGCCAGGCCGATCTTCTCATCGCTCATCTTGACGTCGTCCACCGCGACGTCCAGCGAGTCTACCTCCACGTCCTGCGCCGTGGACTGGACCGCCTGCTCCACGTCGGTCATACCTGACGGGCTCACCTCCGGAGGGAGCACGATAAGCTCGCTAGCCGGAGCATCCTGGCCGGGGCCTCCGCTCCCCGGCGAACCGCCCGTCCCTGGCCTCTCCTCCAAGCGCTCCTCGTCGCCTGGGTCGTCGGCCTTCCGCTTATATCGGCCGCCTCCCGTGTCCGTCCACTTCGCCACCTTCGGTGGCGATCCGGCATCGCTTCCACTCCTCTTGACCCTCGGCGAGTCCGAAGCACCGCGCTGGGCCGCCAGAGGCGCGGCGCTACCCGCAGCCGGAGGCCCCCGGAGATTTTGGCCTGGATCGGCCTGTGCCGCCGGAGGCGCGGAGCTACCCGCAGCCCCCGGAGGCCTCTGGAGATTTTGGCCTGGATCGGCCTGTGCCTGTCCTAGTCCAGGGCCCGCTTGAGCTCCAGCCTCCTGTCGCTGAGCTCCCACGCGTTCTCGGAACGCCGAGATCCTCCTCTCGTCGTCCTTCTCCACCTGCTCCATGATGCGCTTCCGGCACGCCGCGTCGTGCGTCTGCGCGCCAGCGCCTCGTGCCACTGCCTGGCACCCTGGGCATCCCGCCGTGGGCCCATACTTAACCACGTCCTTCTTGCGTACGTAGAACGCTCTCGGTGCCACCACATCGGGCACCGCCGGCGGAGCGACCGGTACCGGCACGGCCGCTGCTGGCTCCGCGCCGCCTTCGGGTGCTGCGTCCCGTGGCGCCTGTACATCCCATGGTACTCCTCGCAGTTGACCCCAGCCAGCGTAGCTCCACCTCTCAGCAGCCGGCAGGCGTGTAAATGCCATGCCCTGCACCACGCCGTCAGAGCTGAGACCCAATACTGCTCCAGTCCGCGCATGGTGGCCGATGTAGCGCGCGCCCACCGTCACCGGCTCCCAATCACGTTTAGGTCGTCCAACTCGTTCTCGTGCCACCTTAAGGGCAATCTTCTCGCCGAACAGGATGCTCGGCTTCTTCCACTTCCGCCCCGTCTCCCGCTCATACGGGGTCTTGCCGTCGCTGCCCCTGCGGTACTTCGCGATGGTGTCGGCCGCGAAGCCCGCGACCCAGCTCAGCATAGGGTCGCTCTCGTTCAGCTTGTGCCCCAGCTTCTGCTCCAACGCTAGGCGTGTTGCACGCATTTGGCGCTTGACCTCGCGCACGCCCACCTCGATGCTGCCGTTGGCCTGGTGGTCTCCCACAGGCGCCGACCTCGGAATGGCCTCCGCTGATGGGCAAGATTTCGCTGCCGCCTCCTTGAGCGCAACCAGCGCCGGCTCGTTGTCGCTGTGGTTGATGCACTTCTTGAGGCCGGTCCCGTGCACCGTGTTGCCGAAGAACCTCACGCTGCACTCAGCCACGCCTTTCGCCAGAATCGAAGTAGCATAAAGTCGCCCTGACCTCGAACTCTTGATGATCAGGTGCGGGGCCGAGGTCTCGTCCGTGCTCATGAAGAAGTAGTCGCTGTAAATGCGTGGGCCTTCCTTCTCCTCGTCCGCGCTCCTCTCTACCTCAACGCGGCGCTGCGTGCCGGTCGCCCTGGCAGCCCGGCAGACGGGGCACCACGACCGGTACACCGCATGATTCTGCTCCTCGTGCTCCTCCTTTTGAGCCCGGGTCGGGCCTCGCGCGGCCCGCACTCTCTTGAACTCCTCCGATTCCTCGACGATGTTCGGATCCTGAGCCGCCTGCCAGTCGTCTGCCAGCTGCTGCGCTGCAGTCGCGGACATCTGTGGGCCAGCGGATCTCTCCCAGACCGCCGTGACCACAGTCTTGCGCCGACCCGTCCACCGATTGGGGTCCGGGTCCATGCCCAGCGGGCTCTGCGTGTAGCCGCCCCGCTTCACCTCGAAGGACCTCCACTCGCCGTCGGTCCTCTCGAACTCCACTCGGCCGTCGTACAACCGGGTGGTCTCCTTCATGATGCCGTCCTGCTTCCAGTCGTCCTCGTAGGTGGTGCCCGCGATCGGGTTCTCGAGCGGCGCCAAGATGATGCCGTCGTGTTTGACCTGATCCACCACCGGACTTACGGCCGAGAGGCCTGCCCCGGAAAATCCGAAGAGCTAGCCGACGGCCTCCAAGGCGATGATGACGATGTCGATTCGATGCCGGCCACGCTGACCGGCTTCCCGTTCTGCTTGATGTAGAAGTTGCAGAGCTGGCCCTCACGGTACAGCGGCAAGATCTCCTCCCTGCCGTAATGCTGGGTCAGCTCGTTGAAGGCACGCCGCATGCCCACTGCCACCGGGTGGTGCTTAGGCACCAGCGCGCCGCCGTTGTGCCAGATGAAGGAGTCGTGGCCCTTGGACACCTCCGCGGCCGACCCGAGCGGCTTGTGCACCGCAGTGACGGCACCCGAGATGCCCCTCTGGTTGCCATGCTCGTCAATGCCTGGCACTCGGACGCGGCCGAAGTCCGGAATCACGTCGCCGGAAGCCACCCGGAACTCGCCCTTCTTCTGCAAGTTCAGCCCGTCGCCGAACTCCAAGGGAAACGCAGTAGTGGCCGCGCCCGTATCGTAGTTGATGCGCAGCCACTCGTCGCTCCCAGTCCGGATCCGATATGGAGGTCTGGAGGGGGAAGGTGACAATGATGACATTGATCTCTTCTTATCGTCGATCCCGCTGATGTCGAGGCCGTTCTGCTCCGCCTCCGGCTCGGTGGCGGAGGACTGGTTCCACCAGGGCATCGGGACGTCAGCCGGCCAGTCGTCGAGCGAGCTCATGGTCTTGCCGCCCCTGCCCTTGGGGCCGCCCTTGCCGCCGGCCGCCTTGCCCTTAGGGTGCCCTGGTGCTCCTCCTCCTGGGGCTCCTCGACCTCCTCCTCCTGACTGGTACCTGCAGTCCACCTGCTTGTGGTTGCCGCCGCACGTCCAGCATCCTGATCCGTACCTGGGCTGCTGGCTCCTGGGGTCCCTTCCTCCTCCTCCTCTGGCTCCTCCGGACTTGCCGTCCGGCTTACCTCCGGATTTACCGTCGCCTTTGCTTCCCTTTTTGCCGAGGCTCTTGCCGCCGCTCCTGCAATCCTTGCCGTAATGACCCATTTTGCTGCACTTCCAGCACTGGACGCCCGGCCGATGCTGCGGGGTCAGCGCGCCGACGTCCATGTCGTCCGGGCCTCGCCTCGTGTTCTTCTGCTTGGCGTCCAACTTCAGGGAGTGCTTGGTCGAGGCGTAGCTGCTCAGCCTGTTGAAGATGTCCGCGAAGGTCTCGTCCTCCGCCGCGTTGAACATCAACTGCGTCTCCAGGTCCGCCGGCGCCAACCTGTACATGGCGGCAATCAGGGAGTCCTCGCTGACCTTGCACGGCTGCCCGTCTCGGTCCGTGAACTCTTCGTACTAGCGCTTCCTCATCAGCCAGTCCTCGAGAGCCTGCCCAAGCTTGTCGATGCTCTCCACTTTGTCTGGGTTCTGCACCTTGCCGAGAATCACGACCCGGCGCATCGCCGACGTGGGGTCGTACTCGGCGTGGAGACGGCGCCAGGCTTCTAGCCCTTGGTGCTGCCCGGCGTTCCTGACGACCTTGTTGGCGCTGTGCGTCGTGAGCGACACGAGGTACGTGTACAGGTTGGCCGCCTTCGCCTCCAAGTCCACGATGTCCTCGCCGAAGGCGTCCATGAAGTTCACGCTGTCCCCGTCCCCGTCGTTCGTGATCTTCTTCCGCTGGGACGACGCCCACTTCAGGGCAGCAGTGAAGTCCGGGCCGAACTTCGCCGACATGAAGCACACGACCTTGTGCGCCCACTCCTGGAACTCGCTCTCCTCCTTCCCGGAAAACTTTCCTGGCTGTCCTACTCCCTTCGCGTCGATGATCTCGTTCCCGCCGCGGCTCGCGACGCGGAGGGCCAACTCCAGGGTCGCCCTCCTGTCGTTGTTGGCCTGCTCCTCCTGGCGCCTCGCCTCCGTGATCTGGAGGACCGCGGCCTGCGTCTCGCGGCGGGCGTCGGCGAGCTGCGTCGCGAGCTGCTGCATCTCCTGCCGGTGCGTTGCCGCCGTCTGCGCCTGCTGCTGCTGGAGCGCGGCGATTTGTTGAGCCAACTGCTCCATGGCCTACCGCCAAGTTGACGAGTCCAACTCGTAACAACTGGCCACGCCGCTCACGCTTGTTGAACGACTTCTTCGAGCGCGTACCGCGCTTCGAGGGCATGCACAACCGTGCACTGCCCTGCGCTGCCTCCCGCAGCGCCGGTGACTGCCGCCGTCGGACGCGGAGCTACCCGCAGTCCAATCGCGGCGACTCAGCGCGGAGCTACCCGCAGCCGAGTCCAGCAATGGCTCGCGCGCTCGAGCCGTGGATCGTCACAGCAGCCTCACGCTACCATGATGAGATGTTTTGCTAAGCCATAGCTTGGGCTCACCACTGCATGAGCCACCATGTCTACGTACAGTGCATAGCCGCTATCCCACTTAGTGGGATTGTTGTTCGTGGATGCATCATTGCCCCCAGGAGTCTACTTAACAAAATGGGGTCCCCCTGGCTCCAAGGGACTGCAGAGTGACCCAAATTTGATCAACATATATATATATATATATATATATATCGTTAGTGCGGCGAAACATTCATGTTTGGATGAATCGAATATGCAGTCGATCCCCTACTCGACTTCGGCAGCGCGCCGCCGAGTCCTGTTCACGTTCATCCAGCCCTTGAGGCACTCCCTGTGGAATATGTGCCCGCAGCCCTTCACCCGCAGCACGTCCTCCGAGGGGCAACGACACGGGGGGCGGACTGCCTCGGGAGCCCAGGCCCGGAGACGACGACGACGACGACGACGACGACGACGACGACGACGACGACGACGACACCGACGACGACGCCGACGACGACTTGGCGATTGGGGGCCTGTGCTCACAAACATGCTCGCGTCGTGAAACAAGTCTCGGCCGCACGTCTGGGGGCCAGGAGGCGCCACTACCGCTACTCCCCGGGCCTCGCCCGGGTTGCGCTCTGACTCGAATTCCGAGGCGAATCTAACGGTGGCGACGAGGGCCTCCCTGGAGGCCCAGAGAGGGAAACCCAGGGAAATGTAGCGGTAGGGTCATGCTGTTCCCATCCTACTTAAGGACCACATCCCAGAAATTCGCCGGCCCAACGGGCCAGAGGCGTGCTAAGATCTCCGGTAACTGGTTAACAATTCTCTAGTTCGCGCGCGCGGGGCGGCCCCTGGGGGTCCCCGGACGAGAAGTACCCCAGGCGAGTCCCGGCTGATCCCCGGGCGACTCCACCAGAGCGCTTCATGAGCGCACCAACAGGGCGCCGAGACGTCCCCGAGAGCCCCAAGAAAGGCCAAGAGGCCCCCAAGAGGCCCCCAAGATGGTACACGAGGGGTCCGACATGCCACAAGATCGCTCCAAGACGCCCAAGATAGCCCCCAGACGCCCCAAGAGGCCTCCAAGAGCACTCCCAAGAGGGCCCCCAGGAGGCAAAATTCATTGCTTTTCCTTAGGTTTGTAAGAATTTGGAGCTTCCACCTTTTCGGCTTCCCGACGCCCCAAGACGGCCCAAGAGGTCCCCAAGATCGCCCAGAGGGCCCAAGAGGCCCCCAAGAGGGCCCCAAGATGGCCCAAGAGGGCTCGAAGACGGCCCAAGAAGCCTCCAAGACGGTCCAAAAGGGCCCCAAGAACGCCCCCAAAGGGGCCCCAGAGAGGGAACACGAAACAACATTTCGAGCCCTCGGCCCTAAGAAGCCCCCACGAGGCCCCAAGAGGCCCCTAAGAGGCCCCAAGAGGCCCCCACGAGGCCCTCAGGAGGCCCCCAAGAGTCCCCCAAGCGGCCCCAGGAGGCCCCCCAAATGCCCCCCCGAGCACGCAAGCAAGTGCAAGCGATGCTACAATGTGCTCTCCTTTCGGTAGACTCCCAACGGGGCCCCTACAGACTTGCAACAAGCGTCAAGAACCTGCCCAAAAAGCAATGTCCAGGAGCGTTCACAAGTGCCGCGAAGAAGCCCTCCTTACGCCGGAAAGCCCGGAAAGCCGGGTGGGGTGAGCTGTTCTTCTCACCACCGCGCCCTCTCACACAATGGCTTCCGCACGCCGCCCAGAGCGCGACGTTCGGCTCATGCCCCCAGAACGCTCCAGGAGCGCGCCAAAACGGCACCCGAACGCCCCCGAAACAATCCAAGCGGCCTCAAGTCGCCGAACAATCGTTCCAAATCGCCCAAGATGACCTCAAAATTGCCGTCGAGGCCGCCAAGAAGCCCCAAGAGAGCCTCAAGAGGCCCTCCAAGACGGCCATTACAATCAAAAATCGTCCCATTCCCAGAGGAACATGTACACTTCCCGCATGAACGGCGTTTCGAGTTTCACAGCGCCTCAGACTACGCAAATAGCCCCAAACATCGCCCCGAGACAGCCCAACAATCCGCTAAAATCGGCCCAAGACGGCCCAAGATAACCCCAAGACGGCACAAGAGAGCACCAAGACCGCCCAAGAGGCGCCCAAAGGGGGATTCTGCCCCTAGGAGCACCTCAGAAGCCACCAACATCCCGCCAATAAGTCCCCCAAGACGCCCCAAGAACCACCCAAGAAGCCCAACAAGAAGCCCCAACGACCCCCAAACGGCCATTACGGGGCCTCAAGAGGCTTCAACACTGCCTCCAAGAGGTTCCCGAGACGCCTGGCAAAAGAACCCCCAAAGCGCCGCATTGACACCAGGCCCTCGGGCAAACAGCAGACCTGAGACTGTATGGGCCGGCGGAATGAGCGAAGCGATTAAATAATTTCGAGCACCCAGAAAAAAGTCAAAAGAGTGTCGAAACAGTGTCGGGCGAGTGTCTCCCAGGGCCCGACTCGTGAAAACCCTTGAGTTTCGATACTTTCCTGGCCGCTCGAAATTCTTCCTGGTGATCAAGGCTAAAGCAGGCTGGAGCATCACAACGGTAATTAGGCCCAGACATCAGACGTCTCGATTTCTTCGAGACGCGGGCCCCCGACCTCCCGACCACTTCCCTGGGACCGGCTTTTCATCCCGAGTCCTTTTTTGAGGGTCCTGAGGCCCGGCGAGGGCCCCCACGGGCCAAAAACTATGAAAATTGAACAATCCCTGCCTCGGTTTCTTCGAGACGTCCGATGTCTGGGGGGTATGACTACCTACCAGACCACCCCAACCCAACCCGAAGACCCGAATTTCGGGTTGGGGGGGGTAAGGGTTCCACGCGTGTTTTTTCGATGTTTCCCGACCCCCCCCCCACTGGAAATCGAGGGTAAATCTGAGCCTTCGGGTTGGGTTGGGGTGGTTTGGTGGGTGGTGAGGGTACCTCTTCCTCCTCTGACCCGGGCCAATGCCAGGGGCGAGCGCGCAGCGCGCTCGGGCAGCCCCCCCGCGCCAGGGCCGGGGCTGCGAGGCACACGAGGTCGCGGAGGGGCAGGACAAGAGGGCGGCCGCAAAGGCATCGGGCACCAGGCTGGTGCCCAGAGATCCAACGCACTGACAAAACTCAAGACGGAGTTCTTTTTCTTTCACACTTCGGCCCCTAGGGGCCCTCGCCGGGCCTCGGGAGCGTCAAAAAACGACTCAGGACGAAACACCGGTCCTGGGGAATGGGTCGAGGCTTCTGGGGCCCCTGTACTGAAAAAATCACGGCGTCGGAGCTCTGGGTGCAGGACATCCGACGACGTGCTCTTTTGAGCAGGGACCGACCGTCCCAGCATTCCTATAGTCATACCACGACATGTTCTTAGAGCCCAACAATGTTCTCAGAACAAAAACAAGGTTCTTAGAACATAAGCCCGATGTGATAAAACAAGACAGACTCCGCCAGAAATGTTCTAAGTACATTTCGTGGAAACCACAAAAGGTTCTTAGAACATTGTTTGGTAGGGCTATGGGCGAGCCAGGACGCTTCGCCGCTTTTGACTTTTGTTCAACCCGCGGCGCCAGGGAGGCCCTGGACGGGCCCCCTCCCCGGGCCAATTGCCGCCTCGGACCCGCGTCTGCTTCGGGGAGCCCCTTCGGGAAGGAAGAAGCGCCGCGAGTCCCCCAAGAGGCCTCCAAGAGGCCCCCAAAGAGGCCCCCAAGAGGCCCCCAAGAGGCCCAAAAGAAGGCCCAACGGGCCCCCAAAACAGCACCCAAGAGGCCTCAGAACTGCCTCCAGGAGTTGGCAGCCGACGCTGCGAGCAACACTAACAGCACCCCCAGCCCCCGGCCAGCTTCCGCCTCGAACGCGTTTCTGCTTCGCACAAGCTGTGTCGGAACAACCGCCCCACCCACCCAGCACAGGCAAAGATGAACATCATTTTTGTCATCGCTGCTGAGTTGCGTCGCTGCTGGCCGCAACGCCTCCGCCTTTGGAAAAATGCAGGGCGGGCGGGAGGTTCTCGAGGAGAACGCCTGACACCTGGGCCACAATGGCAACGTACAAGACATGTGTCTGCTGCGTTCTACTGGCACTGGAAGCATATCATGAGTATCTGCGAATCCACCCACCCACCAGGGTTCCTCCAGCTTGTGCCACTCACATGTGCCATGTTCGACTCGGGAGCCGCTTCGGCAAGGAAGGAGCGCCGCGAGGCTCTCCCCCCCTTGGCAGCCGACGCTGCGAGCAACACCATACAGCATCGTGGAGAATCACGGCCGGCGCCCTGCACCCCGATCTCCCTGCGGCATCTTCTCCTCCTCCTATCCTCCCTCCTCCTCTCCTCTCCTCTCCTCCTCCCTCCTCCTCCTCCTCCCTCCCCTTCCCCCTCCCCACTCCCCCTCCCCTCCCCCCTCCTCCCTCCATCCTCCTCCCCCTCCACCTCCCCTCCTCCCCCTCCTCCCCCTACCCCTCCTCCCCCTCCCCCTCCCCCTCCCCCTCCCCCTCAAGGCGCTTCCGAGCCGGACGCATCCGTGACGGCCCCGGGGCCGGACACGAGGCGAGAACGCCCGGAGCGCAAAAACTGCAACGCCCGGATCTCAAGGCCCCTCCTCCCCCCCCGAGCCAGCCGCCCGCGTCGGCGCCCATGATCCATGATGCCGCGCTCCTCGCGCGATGCTCCCTCCCGTGACCCAGACTCGCGGACGCCCAAACGGTTTGGTGACCACACCGCGTGGCGAGTGATGGGGCAATTCGGGGCCACCACACGGTTTGGGCACAGGGCTGGACCCGAACGTTGCTGTTCGTTTTGCTTTCGTTCTGTTTTCGTTTTGCTCTACCTGTCTCTCCCTCCCAAAACGAAAGACAAAACACGACCGAAGTCCAGCAAAAAAACGTTGAGGTCCAGCCCTGTTTTGGAACTCGGGTCGTTCTCCGAGGACGTCTCGGGCGACTAGGGCCTCCAGGGCCCCAGGACCGTGCGGTGACGGGCCGCGCGGTGAGGTCTCTTGGGATTTCGAAGTCGCCGAAAGGTCTTTCACCACACGGTTCGAGGACCCCCGACGGACCTCCAACATCATGATTGTTTTGCAACCTGGACGCCCGGAGGTCTCGGCCGCTTCCCCAGGACCGGCTCTTCATCCCGAGCCGTTGTTTCACGGTCATGGGGCCTGGCGAGGGCCCCCCAAAGCTCCCCCAGACTCCGGATCCTCCGTGCTTTCGTTGGTTTCCGACCATCAAACTGTATCGGGAATGCACCCCAGACGATGCGAAAACGTCGGGCGATAATTTCAGCATCAGAAAAATTGGGGCGGAGATGTCCGCAAATATAAAGACGGAAGCAGCGACTGCAAGCAGGGCGGAAATCGACACCAGAAGAACTTGAAAAGTGGGCCGGCAATTCCGCCCCCTATACTTGCAACATCGTCCAAAGCACGGCGGATCCGATGTCAGGGCCTAGCAGAAAACAAAAACCTCCCTTCGTCATCGTCTGGCTGTGCGATAGCCAGCACCCAGCCAAAAGCACCTGACTGCTCATGTTGGACATCGACTGACGAGTCTCTGTCGCCAGAGTGTTCGTTTTGAGCCACGCCCACATCGCAGAGCGGTAGGGGGGTGGCTGGGAAGGATCGTGCCCCTCCATCAGCAAAGCCTTGCGCCGACTTGCGGCCGCCGCGATCGCCGCGGCGACCCCCAAAACCAACCGGGAGGCTCGGTTCGGCGTCGGACACAGTCGGGCTGCGGAGCGAAGGAAGGCCAGAAAGTGCACGAAGCCCCTCTCTGGCCGCAGAAGCGCCTGGGTGCACGAGGAGGGCTAGAAGAGCAGCCATGGGAGGACCTCGGCGACATCGAGCCCCTTCCGACCCCAGACTGTTCCTTACCTCAGCGCCTTGACTGCATCACGCAACAATGCTTGCCATGGACCGCGGGGCTCTGGGGAACCCGCCGCCCCCGCCGGCGCCCCGCCGCTCCTTGGCGCGCTCCTCGCTCACGACGTACTCTTCTATACAGATCGGGCAGCACGGGTTCTCCTGCACGTGCTTCTCGAGCGCCGCCACGCCCACGGGCTCCGTGCTCTTCTCCAGCGTCCCGGCCGGCGCCGCCTGGCAGCGCTCGACCCGGACGGCGTGCTTCGTCCTCGCTTCGTGCTCGGTCTCCCTCGTTGGGTCTTCGCTCCACGCCTGCCGGAAGAGCGAAGCACGAGGCGAAGACAGCCCACGACAGCGCCAGGGCACAGTCTGGGTCGAGCCCTGCCGCCTGGGTCGTGGACAGGAGCCCGTTGCGATACACGATCTGCAGGACTCGCCGGATCCCTATGATGTTGATCGCCAGGAAGAGGGTGACGGCGATGTTAAAGATGGGCCAGGCAATGCCAAATGGGGGCCACCCCTGAAATCTCCGCGCTGCGAAACATTTGCGACGGAAGATGTGTGGCACCGTTCGGCCCTTTGGGGCCCTGTCTACAGTCGGACCTAGGGCACAGGAACGTCGTCAAGAACACGAGATCCTCCGCCGGCCCAAACCGAAGAACATTCGAGGGTGCCATTCCCCAGGATGCACAAGAAGATCCAATCAAGACGAAGCACGCCGAACTTAAGCACCGGGCCCTGGGGCCGTCCACAAGAATCAGGACGAGAAGCCCTGCAGACCTCTGGGGAGCGGCATTCGGGGAAACGGACCTCCCCGACTCTCCAAGTTTTTGGGCGTCTCCAGCTCTCCTTCTGGGGCCTCCAGTAGAGGCGTCAGGGGGCCTGCGGAGGCCTCTGGGGAATCCCTGGAGGCCAGAGACCTCTGGGACCTCTGGACCACTCTAGTGAGGAAGAGGAGTCTGGACGACGGTCGATCCTCGATGTAGAGGAGAAGGAGGAGGAGAAGGAGGAGGAGGAGGAGGAGGAGGATGGGGAGGAGGAAAAGGAGGAGGAGGAGGAGGAGGAAGCAGGAGGAGGAGGAGGAGGAAGAGGAGGAGGAGGAGGAGGAGGGAGGAGAGAGGAAGGAGGAGGAGGAGAGGAGGGGAAGGGAGGAGGAGGAGGAGGGAGAAGGGGGAGGAGGAAAGAGAGGAGGAGAGGAGGAGGAGGGAGGAAGAGGGGAAGGATCATGTGAAATGTGAGAGGCAGGAGAGGAGAGGAGGAGGAGAGGACGGAGGAGGGAGGACTATGCGACTACGCGGAGAAGACGTCGACAGCTCTGGGTGGCCAGGCCCATGAGGCTTGGGGGCGGAGAAAAGAATGAGCGAGAGGAAGGAAGGAGGAAGGAGGAATGAAGCAGGAGGAGGGAGGAGGAGGAGCGGAGGAGGGAGAGGAGGGGAGGGAGGAGGGAGGAGGAGGGAGGGAGGGGGCGGAGGGAAGGCGGGAGGAGGGAGGCGGGAGGAGGGAGGAGGAGGAGGAGGAGGAGGAGGAAGGAGGAGAGGAGGATGAATACGAGGAGGAGGAGGAGGAGGGGGAGGAGAGGAGGCGGAGGAGGAGAAGAAGGAGGAGGCGGAGGATGAATAAGATGAGGAGGGGAGGAGGGGAGGAGGAGAAGGAGGAGAAGGAGGAGGAGGAGGAGGAGGAGGAGGAGGAGGGGGAAGTCCTCCCTGAAACCTCTCCCGTGGTGTTTTCTTGCCAGAGCTTCGAGGGAAACCGGGCCGTGGCGACGGAGAGCTCTCCAGGACGAGCAGCGGCAACGTTTTTCCTCTAAACGTGGACCGAACTTCGAACCTCGAGAGGCCGAAGTCTGAGCATTGTTGAACCGATCCCTATCCCCACTAGCGTGGCATGGCTCCCACTGGCCGACGTGCCCCCTGGGAAGGACATGGGCTCTTCCCTTCGGGCTTCCAGGGGCCCATTCTCGGCTGGAGCGGGGGGAGGAGGGAGGAGGGAGGGAGGGGGGAGGAGGAGGAGGAGGAGGGAGGAGGAGGAGGAGAGACGAGAGGAGGAGGAGGAAGGGGGGGAGGAGGAGGGAGAAAAGGAGGAGGAGGAGGAGGAGGAGGGAGAAGGAGGAGGAGGAGGAGGAGGAGAGGGAGAAGAAGGAGGAGGAGGAGGAGGAGGGAGGAGGAGGAGGAGGAGGAGGAGGAGGAGGAGGAGGAGGAGGAGGAGGAGGAGGAGGAGCGGTGGGATGGTGGGGCTGAGCTACCATGGCCCAGTGTGGATGGGGGCAGGTCGCCGTCTCTGTTTCGCCCTGCTCTACCATCGCTGGTTCCGCCACAACTTTGACTACCTACCAGGCCACCCCAACCCAACCCGAAGACCCGAATTTTGGGTTGTGGGGGGTACGGGTTCCATATGTGTTTTCTCGATGTTCCCCGACCCCCCCCACTGGAAATGGAGGTCAATTTGAGGCCTTCGGGTTGGGTTGGGGTGGTTTGGTGGGTGGTGATGTTCTGCATTGCTCGGCGTGCATCTCCGACACATCTGAAGTCGGAGCATCAAACAGAGCACAGCCGATCTGGAGTGTACCCCCTCCTCCACTCACCTCGACCGACCTTCGAAACCCACGAGGCCGAAGTCGGGGAGCCCCCCCAGCTCTGCCCCCCTCGGAACTGCCTGAGATCGTCACTCCCCCCTCGGCACTGCCCGAGGTGAGGATACGGGCTGTTCCCCTCGGGTTTCCAGGGGCCTATCCCCAACTGTGGTGGTGCGATGGTTGGGCTGAGAGGCCATGGCCCTGCGGGGATGGGGATCACTTGGAATAGCTACTGCTGAAAGTCAGGGGCTCCTCCGCTGCGGGAAAGGCGCCCGTGCACCGTACCTCGTCTGGGCCCCCTGCGGACCCCGCTCCGACGCGGTGCGGCGCCCAGCTCTTTCGGCCCTGGGGGACCGAACAGCTGTGCACTGCACCATTCCTGGGTCGAAGACCGACGACGCCTCTGGAGGCGCGCCCGCGCGGTGCGGTGCACACGAGTCGTCCGTCGACCCCTTCCTGAATCGTTGTTCGACGAGCCCGCGGCCGGGCGAGGGCCCCTGGAGGCCGAAAACTGGCACAGAAGCCCGCCGCCCCACTCTCTTCGGCGCGTCGGATCCCTGGGTAGGTTCGGCGACACCGAAAGGCAGGGGCTCGAGCAGGGTCGTGCTCGGCAGCCGCCTGGTGCGTGGAGGCTGTGATGCGCCGCGGTCCGATGGAGTGCGCTCGCCTGCTGCATCTGATTGTAGCCGGCACGTCCAGCCCATCAGTGACAGCATGGTCCTCTGGCATCGCTCGGACGTGTGCAGTTGGCACTCGGCGACGACCGTCGAGGAGCATCCTGGATCGTCGAGCGACCAAACCGCGCAGGACGCCGGCAGGTGCACAAGGCATGGACGTGCGAGCGCCGGCACGAGCCGGCGTGTGCCAGGGCGGAGCGCCGACCCACGAGGTCCGCGCGGAGCTCCGCAGGCGTATCCGCTCAGACGACCGGGGGGGGGCTGCGAGATCTGCTGCTGATCCAGGCCCGGCGAGAGAACGTCAGGGGCTCCCCCCCCCGGCACTGCCCGAGATGGCGTAGACCCGCACCGCGCTCAGCAGCTGGGGCGCAGCGTCCTGGCAGGGCGGCAGCCCCCGCTCCGCGTCGGCGGCGTCGCCCGACGCCCAGGCCAGACCCACGCAGTGCCACACGAAGATGAAGAGCTCGAGCAGCATCCTGCGGGGACGGCCCCCAGGGGCTGGGTCGAAGGAGGGAGGAGGGAGGAGGGAAGGGGGAGGAGAAGGGAGGAGGGAGGAGGGAGGAGGGAGGAGGGAGGGATGAGTTGAGGAGAGGAGGGAGGAGGGAGGAGGGAGGAGGGAGGAGTGAGTAGTGATGAGTAATTTTAGGGGGGGGAGGAGGAGGAGGAGGAGGAGGAGGAGTGAGGAGGAGGAGGAGGATTAGTTATTGTGGTGGAGTAGTATTCTTATGGTTAGATTATCTTATTTTTTGTGGTTTTTTTTTTTTTTTCTTTTTATTGTGTGGTGGTGTTGTGGCTTTTTTTTTCTTTTTTGAGGAGGAGGAGGGAGGGGGGGAGGGGGGAGGGAGGAGGGAGGAGGGAGGAGAAAGGAAGGGGGAGGGGGAGGGGGGAGGGAGGACTGGACTGGACTGGTCCTCCAGAGGAGGCGGTCGGAGGCCTCATGCGTGGCCGCCTTTTCGTGGGGGGCGCCTGGGGCCCGGGAGGGCCGTCGTGCGCGACCCCACGCCGACCAAGCTTGAGTCCGCCTCCGCATTCTGAAGGGGGAGGAGTGGGTGGAGCTGGGCTACAGGCCCCGCCCTCCCCAGCACCGTCCCGTCTTCGGAAGTGGGGGGTCGGAGAAAAGCCTGGCCGTGGAGGGGGAATTGGCCAATCGGAGGAGAGCCGGAGGGCCTCTCCGATTGGAGCTCTTGCATGACCTTCCGACCGAGGCCCTGCCAGTGCATGGCGCAGATGCGTGGCGCGGCGTCGGAAGGAAGGGGGGGAGAGCCATTCCCAGGGAGAGGAGGGGGGAGGGGCCAATCCACCTGAACCTCAGCGTGCCCAGCCTGGCTCTGCCCGACCCTCCGGCTCCGGAGGGAGGGAGAGGAGGTGGGACGTAGGCAAGGAGGACGGGCCGAGCGGAGGAAAGGCGAGCTTTTAGTCCGCCACTGGGCCCCAGAACCTCGACACAGCGAGGTCGATGTCTCTGGCGAGGGTGGCTGCCTCCGCGAATCCGGCCTCCCCTGGGCGGACCGAGAGGATCTCGCGGACCGCTGCTTCCCTGGACGGCGGAGGCGGGGAGCCGCGCGCTGCCCAGAATGCCGCCCTCGCCACGCCAGTGTTGCTGCAGCTCCCCAGGACATGCAGCATGGGGCTGAGAATCTGCCCCTGACAGCAGACACAGACCTGCCGTCGGGCCCTCGAGCGGACTCCTGCTGACTGGCTCAGGACAAGGAGCTGGCACCGGAGCCGACTGAGGGAGCGCTGGCCGAAGAGGGCCGTGCTGGGCAGGCGCAGAGAGAGCGCTGTGGAAAGGTCTTCCCGGGGCACTGGGCCGAGCGAAAGCGGGGCGGGCACTCGGACCCGCGTGTGCAGTCGCAGGCGTAGGGCTGCGCTGCATCTGGCCTTGAGGGTGTCTCGGATGTGTGCTTTGTACGCCGGGAGGGCGGACTCCCCCCTTGCAGCGCCGACCCAGGCGGGCCAGTCCGGCAGGCCCCACTCTTCCAACAGCGCCAGCGAGACACTCGCCCAGGTGCGCCCTGGAGATACATGGCCGTGCACAAACGTCCCCTTGTAGAGGTCTCCGTCCGGAAGGAGCCACAGACCAGCTCTGCGGGAGGCGATGTCCAGGATGGCCCGTGCTCCACCGGAGAGCGACCAACCTAGCTCTGAGACTGCTACAGCGCCGTCACGCCAGGGATGGCTCCCCAGGAGCGCCCTGGCCCACCCTTCGTAAGCAGAGTCCAAGCGCTCAAGGGCACCCTCGGCTGTGGCCAGGAGCCAGCGCCCGAAACGCAGGGAGGCGTCAATCTCCATGTCGAAGATGTACGCCGCAGCGGCCAGAGGGAGAGCACCTGCCGCCACGTGCCCCGCCAGGGACGCACACTGCGCAGAGGCCACAGCAAGCCGCGCCTCCAGTGCTCCAAGCAGGCGGAGATCACCAGGCCACTGAAGGCCAAGCCATTTGTGCTTGGGGGCTAGGTCGACCTGCACCGGCGGGAGGCCCCGCAGCGGCAGCAGGAGAGGGGGGGCACTGGCGGCAGCCGCTCGCGCAGCCTGGGAGCCATGCGCCACAACAGCGTGCTTGGAGGCTTTGGTGTGCGGGGACGCTTTCCACCTGTACGCCCAATCGGCTAGGACCTGGAGGGACCGTCCGGCCCCCCCCCGGGAAGATGCCAGCAGGGCCGGGTCGTCCGCGTGGAGGAGGGCTCCGATCCGCCTGGGGGCGGCGGCGTCCAGGGCAGCGAGGGCGGAGGCTTCCAGAGCTGGGTCCTGCAGCAGCGCCTTCGGAGGAGGCAGCGGCGCCCTTGTTGCCAACGCGTGCAGCAATTGCATCACCTGACTCTGGTTCGGTTCTCCAGTGCCAGTCCAACTATGGCCCGACCAGGTCGGCGGCATGCGAATGCCCACGCCCACGCCGCACCCCGCGAACATCAAGTCCTGGGCAAGCGAGTCCATGTACGAGGGGAAGGTGAGCGGCCCCAAAGTACCACCTTCCGCAATCCCCTGGGTCACTGAGACTGTTTCCACGCCGTTGAAGTTCACGTGGACGGTGTCCTTCTCAAACATGCTTCCCAGGAGGGCCAGCATGCCGTCCGAGACACCCGCGTGCTCCCGGAGGCGGTGTAGTAGGCCTTCCCGCCACGTTCTTGGGAACGCTTTCTGAAGGTCACTGAAGATGACCCATAAGGGCCGTCCTTGCGCCGCCGCTGCCGCGGCGAGCTCGTGGAGTGCTAGGTGAGCATCACCGACGTCCCGAACGTACCCACTTTGTCCTGGGAGCACCGAGTCCTGCAGGTGCCCAAAAAGGCGACGGTGGACCACGGACTCTTGGATGAGCCCCAGCTGCGCCTTCACCATAATCAAGCGGAATGACGACGGGAGGTCCACCGGGCCCTCTTTGTGGAGCGGGACTGCGCAGCTCCCGCGCCACCCCTCTGGCCTCACCGCAAGATGCCCCGGGCCCATGAGGCATTGAGCTAGCCACACCGCTTGATCCAGGGGAATGTCCCCCAAGAGGAACACAAGTCGCGGAACTAGGTCCGGCGTCGTGGCTCCGGTGGTACCCATGCGTCCCAGAGCGGCCCTGACCTCCGCTTCCCCCACTGGTTGATCGAAAGGTCCCGTGCCTCTGTGGGACCTCGCCCTCCCCAGGGCTGTTGGGAGGGAAGAGGAAACTTGGGCGTGAAAGCCAGGATCCCACGGCCCTGGCCATTGCGTCTGCTCCTGGAGCTGATTGCTCCACGCGTGCCGGGAGCCATCTGCAGAGAGCGCGTCCCCGCCCGCGTCCCTCAGGATGGCCGCCGGCGCCGCCGGGAGCGGCCGCGTGAGACGGAGGCATTTTGCCGCCCTCTCAGACGCAGAGCCGGGACCATCCAGCGCTTTCCGGACGCGGCTGGCGAGTGTTCTGGGCAGACTGGGCCTTGGCCCCCGGGGAGAGGAGGTAGCGGGCACAACCCACCCTGCCAGGACCATGCCCAAGACGAGGTGTAGAAGCCAGGCAACTGCGTCTGCAAGCCACTGGGCAGGTCCGGCTGCTGAGGACCGCATTCGTTCGTGAGGGCCCTCCTCTCCACACAAGCTCCGGACAATGGTACAGAAGGCGCCCAGGACATCTTGGGCTTGCCGCAGTCCCTCTTTCCACCCAGGTTCCTGGAGCCACCATCTGGGCATGCGGATCCCGCCCTGCGCCAACTGCGTGGGAGCAACAGGAAACGGGATAGAATAATCGAGGAGGAAGTGGTCCCCTAAGGTGTATTCCACACAGCTTTCCCATCGACACCCGTCGCAAGAATCATGAATGAGCTGATCGTCCGTCTTCAAAGAGCGGCAGGAGAGGCCATTGTGGATTCGCACGGTGCCCATAGCTCCTGGGGAGGCCACTATCACGTCGAGGCATCGCGAACGGCCATGCCCATGATGTGTGTCCCCTGGGCGAACCTCTACGATGCGGCGCCGGATGGGGAGCCATACTCGTTCTGGGGAGGCTGAGCCAATGACTGGGTTCTGGTGCCCTAGCCCCCAGGTTGCTACGAATACTGTCCACGCCCTAGCTCGGGCAGGGGAGGGATCCCGCCGCCCTAACAGTTCTGTCGGCTGGAGGTTGATATCTCCCATGATAATGGCGCGGTCATCTTCCTTCAGGGGCGGGTCCCCCAGCAGGGCCCTAAGGTCCGCCTGTAAGCCAGCGACTTCCTGGAACCATGCCGAATCCCTTCCAGAATTTGGAACTGGGGGAAGATATAGCGTGCACACAAACCAAGGGCCACCATGAGCATCTTCGAGGCGGAGCCAGAGGCGCCGGTCCGAGCCGACAAGGGCCAATTCTGCAACTCGGTGGAGGATATTAGGATCCCACACCACCGCGGTGCTCGCGTAAGAGGGGCCCCCGCGCGAGGCAAGACCCAAGTCCGAGCGTCCCGGGACGGATGTGCGGGCGGGAAGTCGGGCACCAGGGAGCCCAACAAGGGCCAGGTCCAGCTGCTTCATGGCCTGCAGAATGCCAACCCGCGCGTCCGTGAATACTCCCCACAGTATCCGCGACCCGTCAATGGAGAGGCACCCAGTAGTGCTCGGGGAACCAACCGCTATCTTCACGCCGTACCGTGGCTCCATGCCGGAGTTCCCGGAGAGCGCAATCTGCCTGCCAGGGCCTGGCAGGTGCCGCGCAGCCCACCGCAACGCACTGAGAAGGGCGCCATGGGCTGACGAGGATTGCAAGGCGTCCCAACTGGTGGCTTGCTCGAGGAGCCTGCTGGCTTCGTCGCGCAGCTGCTTCCAGCGGAACTGGAGGAGCGGGTCTGCAACTGGGTCCCCACTCCGTCCAAACCTGCGGGCATGCGGGAATACATCCAGGAGGGCGTCGAGGAGCACGTCCATCGCATCGTGGTGGAGGCCTGCCTCTGGGCTGAGAGGCGCGGCGGGCGCGACCTGGGCCCGGCTGGCTGAGGGAAGGAAGGGGGCCGGGGCGATGAGGGCGTCGGCCAGGCCCAGCAAAAACATG